GTCACAGTCCAATCCCTAATACCCACCCCCAAATTCCCAACACACTAAAACCACTACTTCCGGCCCCTAACCCCACCCCTCAATCCACCCAAACAAGCTCCCAAAACTGCACCCCCATCCCCCTACCCCCAACCAGCCACTCCCTCCTACATCCTCCAAACCCCCACCCCCCCTCTCTCATTCACTGCATCACCAAGAGCCTCAAACCTAAAAATCCACTAACTAAACACGCTCAATCAACCACAATCAACCTTCTGCCCCAGCCTCATGGCATTTTTCACAAAAGTCTAGCCAGCCTCATCAATTCTCTCTAAACAAGTCCAAATTACTAAACCGCTCAATCAGTCATGGCTTTTTATAAAATTCTCTTCCTGATGCAATGGAACTGTAACGGCCTTCGAGCAAACGGACATGAGCTTAAGGCACTTACCGCCCAAAACAAAATTTCGCCCCAAATAATCTTCCTACAAGAGACAAAATTATCCCCAAAATTCGCCTTTCAAATCCCATGCTACAATTATATCAGGAAAGACAGACCTCGGCCAATCAAACAAACCAAAATTATTCAGAAATTGATATTCCAACCACTAATCTAGAAGTCCTGGCTGTAAAAACAACAATAAATAATAAATTATTAACATTTATAAATATCTACAGAAGACCCTCCATTAAACTTATACCCCGAGATTTAGACAATATAGCAAAATTCTTAACGCCCAACACCTTTATCCTTGGAGACGTAAACTCTCACCATCCATTAGGGGGCACAAACCCTATACTGACAACAATGGCTTCCTCCTATCTAACTGGCTAGACGACCAAAACCTCATCACACTAAACGATAACCAACCTACCAGATACCCTCTTCCCCACGTCCAATCACCTACAGCAATCGACTTAACTATCACCACTCCTACTTTTTCAAAATCTTGCCTATGGGAGGTACACTCAGACGCCTGGGGCAGTGACAACTGCCCCATCAAAATCACCATATCTACATTACTTGCATCAATAGCACAAACAAACCCTAATACTACCCCACACCTCCAACACAGAAATCAAATACAATTTACACAAAGCAGACTGGAATAAATTCATTAAACTATGCAAACAAGTAGACCCATCCAACATTATTAACACCGATACAGAAACTTTTAACACACAGCTCACCAACACCTTTTTTGTCATAACAAATACATGCATACCCACTTCTCGGACCACCCAAGCACAGAAAACAGTCCCATGGTGGAGCCCAGAAATTATCAATGCCAGAAAGGCACGAAAAAAGGCCCTTAACAAATCAAAAAGGGAACGTTCAAAATTATATTTGGCCAAAAAACTCAGAAACAACACTAAACAACTAATCAAGGCAGCAAAAAAAGAACACTGGAAAATATTTTGCTCAACCCTGACGCTAAACCAACACAACTCCAGGAAAATATGGAAAAAAATTAAAGCTATTCAGGGAAATTCCAAAAATATAAATATACACGAACTCAAGGCAGCTATTAAACATAAAAAACAGCCTCAGTCCCTGGTCCAGAAAATATCACATACACCATACTCAACAAATTACCATCAAACATGCTCAACTTAACACTTACACTATTTAACCAAATCTGGACGACAGGAAACATTCCATCTTCTTGGAAAACAGCTAAGGTGGTGCCAATCCTAAAGCCAGGGAAACCCATCAACTCCCCAGATTCATTTCGACCTATATCACTCATCTCACATTTATGTAAAACACTTGAGTCTATAGTAAATGATAGACTAAAACATCAAATCCAAACCCGTAACTTAATTAAACAGGACCAGAGTGGCTTCACTCCAAATAGGCAAACTTTAGATCACATTTTACATTTGGAGCATGATATAAAGGTAGCCCAAGCACAAAAACAATACACGCTGGCCATTTTTATCGACTTTAGCAAAGCTTTCGACATGATCTGGCACAACGGCCTTATCCAAAAACTACAGGAAAATGCCATACACGGGCGTATTTTAAATTTCATACAGGCATTCCTCAAAAATAGACAAATAATAGTCAAATCTCACAACACTATCTCGGATCCTTTTCCACTAGAAAATGGAACCCCTCAGGGGGGCATAATATCCCCAACACTATTCAACTTCATGATTAACGACATATTCCCGGACAAGTGGCCAGAAATTTCTACTGCAAAATTCGCTGATGACATTTCTTTTTGGACATCATCCACTTCAGGAAACCAAGCCACAATCAAAACTCAAAGAATGCTTAATCACATCCAAAACTGGGCCCATAAAAGGGGGTTCTACATTAACGTTAAAAAGACAGTGGGCATCTTATTGAAAAAGCAAAGAATGCAAAATTATACACCCAAACTCCATCTTAGTAACCAGGAAATCAAGTTCGAAAAAGAGGCAAAATTTCTAGGTGTAACTTTTGACCAACACATGACATGGACACCCCACATTAATAATCTGGTCAACTCATGTCAAAAAAGACTTAAATCTCATGCGAGCTATCAGTGGTACAAACTGGGCAGCCGACAAACAAACACTTTTCAACATATGCAAAACTCTTATACAGTCTAGACTGGACTACGCTGCTCCGGTCCTACAAAACCTTAATTCCATACTGTACAAAACCCTTAAGCAAGCCCTAGGCACTAGGACTGGCACCTCCCACAACACTCTTCTACTCACAGGCATCCCTTCAATCAAAACACGAATAAACCAAACCGCACTCAATTACTGGGCTGGGGCCCAACACAACCCAATATACAAACTTATCTCAACTAAATACACCAACACTAAAAACTCCACTATTAAAAAACTTAAAAACAACCCAAACAAAGTCCCCCTACTCACTCACCTCATCCGTCTGCTACACTCACAACACCTAAACACCATCCAGCACACACATCCCATAACAAGCTACGTTCATGACAAACCTCCACCCTCTACAGATACTACCCTAGTAAAAACACTCCAAAATCTCCCTAAAATCACTGACACTCAAACCAAAACAAACCTCATCCAAACCCACATCAACCTAAACTACCCCAGCCACACCCAAATATATACAGACGCTTCAATCGGTACAAACAAACGCACAGGCATAGGCATCCATGTACAACAAACACCCCCCTTAACAACAAACCTCCACTATACAAACCACACAAACATTAACACAGCAGAATTAACAGCAATCCTAACTGCACTACGCCTCATCCCCACTATGCCCCACACCAACATCTTAATACTCACAGATTCCCTCAGCGCCGTCAAACAACTCCAACATAAGCACTCAAAATCACGTAACGACCTAATACACAACATAATAATACAGATTCACTCATTACTCCAATTAAATAAAAACATAACATTAATGTGGATACCAGCCCACACTCACAACCAAGGAAATAATACAGCAGACATAGCATCCAGACCAGCCACTACACAAAACTCTCCAGCCATACAATTCCACACATCCAAAACTGAAATCAAACAACTCATCAAATCTCACATAATAAACCAAAACTACCAACACAACCTCAATACAAACAAATCCACTTGGGTTAAAGCCATCATAACCAAACCTATCACCAAAACCTCACCTACTCAAACAACAAACACATGGACACACTCATCACTAGACAAATCACAGGCATAACAAACTTAAACCACACATTATTCAAACAAAATAGACACCCAGATGGACTATGTACACAATGCAAACAACCAGAAACAATTGAACATATATTTACACACTGCCACCTGCAACAAACAAACATCACACAACTACACAGCAGTATATCTTCTAAATACCACAATAATATACATCTACTTTTTAATCCCTTCAACCCGTCAACTATCTTCCACGCCATAGCCACCTTCCTACAAAACTCCAACCAAATCAATAAAATTTAGAACCTCCCAAACAATCCCCACCACGCTACCTCTCAATAGCTTATATATTTAGACCAGGCTCATTTATCCATACTATTACTTTAGCACCAACATAAGCCTACTCATTTAGACCTGGGAAACAAATTTCACGGCCTCCCCACCCAGCCAGCTCACCCACAGCCTTTCAAACCACTGCCACGGCCTTTGTCTCATCGTCACCTCCGCCCACACCAAAAACCCACTCCCCCACCCCTACCCCACCCCCGTTACAAACCCGTTTTTCTTTTTTTATTAGGTCCCCTATTCCTAATTAGTACAGCTTAACTGCACCATTACAAATTAAGCCCCAACATGCTATACATTTACTCTTTACCCACGTCGCACTCACGAATAAAAAGAAGTTGTTATCCATAAAGTTTGTTCGATATTGTACTTCCCAACTTCTAAAATGCCACCCAAAGAAGAATAAAGTGTTGTGGATCCACTGATGGACTACTGTGTTTGAAGAGACAGATATCCCAAAATCTTTAACCAGCCCGGGATACTAACTTCAGTGACTGGCGATCTATAGCCCATTGCTATATTGTTCTCTGTAGTGATATATTTTTGTGATTACATGCTAGTTTTAAATGTTCATCTGTGACAGTATAGCTATTTTAGTGTCCTTCATTGACAGATGGTGATATTGACTAAGTATATGTTAATGTGGAACTCTCATAGTCACGATATGGCTGAAATACTACCGATGTGACTTTAATGTTTCACTCATTCACTCACGCACTCACGCACTCACTCACGCACTCACGCATTCACTCACACAATATGAAGAACCGGACTAGAACAGGAAGGAAGTAACTTATGCTTATCAATTTCGGAATCGGGTTGTCTGGTTGGTTTGCTTGGTGAATGCTTGTAACCGCATCCCAGTTGCTCACATTGATATTTATGATTACCCTTGATTCAATGAATTACTCATTGTGTCTTGACATTTATTGCTGTCGAGGGAACGCTTCAACCACTGGTTTAACCGAAATCTTAGCCCTGGAGATACATAATGTCTACATGTCAAGTATTTATTATGTGTATTTTTCACATTTTTACAGCGATGTCCAAGCGAACATTTCTTGCGGTGTTTCTAACTCTGATCTCGTTCATCGGGTACACTGCCTTCTGTAAGTATCCATCAAGTGTAATAACTATCATTTACAATGATATTGCCAATATTTCAAATTACTTTAATTTATAACTCAATTTAATACAAATGGCAATTCCAATGACTATTCACATCTTTCACGGGGAATGAGAAAAGTGTCACATTTATTCATATTAATATAATCATCCTACCTGTTCAGGCCTCCAGCTCCTGAGAGGGTACCGTTAGTCCATGCCATTCAAAGAGAATTGTATCAACCACTGTTGTCGAACAATTGTCGACCGGTGAAGATCCGGGTTAGAATTGGTCTTCACCCATGTTTGTCGTAAGAGGCAGCTAACGGGATTGTATGGTCAGATTCACTGACTTGGCTGACACATATCAATAGCGTAGATCGATGGTCATAATGTTTATCACTGGATTGTCTGGTCCAGACTCGATAACTGGAATATTGCTGAGTGCGGCGTTAAACAACATAGAAACAAACACTCTATAGTATGGGTCATGACGATCGGGGAAAGTAGCCAGCCAATATTGAGAAGCTGTGCATCCAGAGACCATGCAGGTAGAAGACGTACTGTCCCCATGGTCTCTCAAGTATGGTGATCAACTTTCAGTTGATGGCAATCTGCAGCCGATTTCTGTATTATATTTTCTGTAAGATTCAAATATTTTGAGGGTCACATGCTAGTTTTATATCTTTATCTGTGTTATTCTAGTTATTTCTTTGATGGGCATTTTAGAAGTTGAGTTGATGAAGAATGATGACAATTTTTGTGGATATACAACTTGTTTTATTCTGTGAAAGGCAACGTTTCGACATAGATTCTAATGTCGTTGTCAAGCAAGTGATACATGGTAAAGTTTTCAGAACATATTGTGGAGGACATGTACAGAACATTTCAAAATTTGAAAGTGTGATGCAGTTCCCCCTTTTGAGTTATACCACATGTTCAAGTTTCATTCCGTGTGGGTCGGTGGGGTAGCCTGGAGCTTAAAGCGTTGGATATTAAGCCGAAACACACGAGTTGGATTCCCCACATGGGTACAACGTATGAAGCCAATTTCTGGTGTCCGCCGCCGAGATAGCATTGACAATTCTCTGTATACCCATGAATACCCGTTGATAGGCGAGGATCCTCAGCGTGATATTGCTTGAATATTGCTAAAAGCGGTTTTCCTTGCATATGTTTGTGACGGTTTTTTCCCCAAAGCGGGTACATTTATCATTACTATTTTGCTGTGTTCACATGTTCCACATAAAGTCGGAATCACACAGTGCACACTACTTTTATCATTTCTTACCTTTATGTAAAATACTTAAATTTCGTTGGTCAATGACGCTTTAACAAATTTCTATGTCACCCCTCCACGGAGGGTGCCACGGAAACCGCCAAACTGTATCGCTAACTATCGTACGACGTCATAATATGACGCATGTAGAGTACGGTGTTCAAAAAACCGTTCGACTAGCTGTTTTGAGTTCACTATATACACATTTATCTTACCGACTTTCACTGCTTTATTTAAACTATACTGAGGGGCAATAAGAACGCATATGAGGAAGAAATGTCAGATATATTTCTCATATGTCCAAAAATGACATATGGCTGTACAGAAAAAGGCATTGTGATGACTTGTAAACTATACTGCAGTGTTTACAGAGGATTACGGATGCCACAATGTTTTTTGCGAGCATCTCCAAAACAAGTGATATGCGAACACACAACTGTCAGATTACACATTTCAATACCGTGTGTGTCCTCCTTAAGCAGCCATGCAAGCCTGGAATCAAAGCTTGTGAAACGGCTCTCCAGTGAAACTGCAAAGCTTGTGTCAACTCAGTTACAATTTGGGGAGGATTCAACTGACGTCTCACACGGCGCCCAAGTTCATCCCACAATGCTCGATCGGATTAAAATCAGGTGATCGCGAGGGCCAGTTCTAGACATCCACATTGTTCTGATGCAAAAAGTCCTGTGTTATCCTAGCCGTATGTGGCCTGGCATCGTCGTGTTGGAACACGAGGCGATGTCGTCCGTGTCGACCCATCAATGGCAGAAGCACTGGTTGCAACACGTTGTCAATGGGCGTTGAGGTTCCCTTAAAGAACAACCAAGTCAGAGCGGAAGTTGACGTTAAATGCCCCCATACCATAACTCCACCACCACCAAAGCGATCACGCTCAATGACACAAGGCTGAGCAAAACGTTCATGATTACGACGAAAGACACGTAGCCGACCATCAGGGAAACTGACGTTGAAACGTGATTCATCTGTGAAGATGACATCTCGCCACTGTCTGGCACCAAGATAGCCCCCAGCAGCTGCCCAACGTTGACGATTTAGGCGATGTGCATGGGTGAGGATCTGTCCACGATAGGGTCGACGACATCGGATGTGACGTGCAGCAAGGCGACGGCGTACTGTCCGGTCTGTGATGGAACGTCCTCTCGTTCCTATCGTGTCATTTGCAGTCTCTCGTGCAGACCTGAAGAGATTCCGAAGATGACTAACGACGATGTACCGATCTTGCCTTTGTGACGTCACACGAGGAGCTCCCTGACGTGGATGGTCTTGGACACTTCCTGTTGCCCTATGACGTTGCTGTAGCCTCGAAATGGTTGTCTGGTGGACGTGGAAGTGATTAGCAACATCTCTCTGTGTTTGGCCAGCATGCAGCATTCCAATTGCTTGGTTCCTTTGGGCGTTGGTCAACCGTGGCATCGTGGATGTGAATGAAAGCCATTTCTCAACCTGTGCTTTTATGGGAGCTGAGAGTGCACATTGCACGTGCACCATGGTTTTCTGTTCACCCAACTGCATTGTCATCGCACATGCTCTTGGGTGCGTTTGGGATGTCACGTCCCTGTCATTTGAAAACGTGGGATTCGAACCTAAACATCAGAGCTGTGCATTTCTTAACCATATGTTTTCACCAAATTGTAGTTTTGGAAACAGCAACATCTCTAAAACGGACTTAGAGTAGAAAGTCCAATATGCGTTTTTAACGCCTCTCAATATATTTTATACATTGAATCGTTTGCACGCTCAACTTAAACATAATATAATCATTTTCAGAGCAGTTTTAAGCTTTTCACAATATGTTTCACAGGGGTTAAAATCCAGTCGAGAGGCAAACGCCATTTTGTTTACGTGTCATTTAGTCGGTAGCGAGCTTATGGATCTTCACAATAAAATAAAATGATATTTTGTACATTTAACATGGAGGTAAGATAAATACGTTGTAAGCTTCTCCCTCGGGTAATACGGTCTGATGTACGGCGTGCATCAGACCGTATTACCCTCGAGAGAAGCATACGAGTACGGGAACACATGACGGTACCCGTGTTCATGTAATCATTTCCAGAATTTCACTCACAGTGCAATACATACCTTGTGAAGAAACCTGAAAAAGAATAAAGGAATACTTATACATTAATGTGTTCCCTTATTCGTTTCCATTAGTAGATTATAAAAGTAGCGTGCACTCTGCGATGCCAACTTTATGTGGAGGGTTTTGGTGATTTTATTTTACATGATATGAACCAAATTATCCTTTTACAGCATCGTATTTCAAATTGACAATCAGCTGGGAGATGCTTCATACACCAAAGGTACACCTTTAATTTCATAATACACTAAATCGTCAAACACGATAAAGCCCATTGAAAAACCCTTTAATATGAGATTTCTTATGATTTTAGAAAGGATCTTTTCACTACAATTTTAAGTTTATAGTGTGCAGATATCAATTATTGACCAGTTTACGGGACACTGCATTTCATTCAGCGGTTTCATACAAGACAACGAAGATTACAACTTTATGGATAAGAAGTTCCTGCGTATGGCCTGATCTAGCTGGCTGTGTTGTCGAACCATTACTTCACTGGTTGTTATTTTAAAAAATAACATTATACTCTTAAACAAATGTAGGGGAATCTGAAATTTCAACTTGGATAGAAAGTATAAGCTTTAACAACTTTTTCAAAGACAGACATCTTATGAAAGCACCACCATTACACTTTACCACCACCCCTAAGCAGAACGCATGGGATGCACGTGCACAACGTTGTAGCCCCATACATGGGTGTCATTCTTTATTTAACGGTTTAAAAGAAGGTCGATAAATCACTGTAGATCATTAATTTTGACAATCATCTTACATCACACAGTTGTTAGTGTTTGTTTCTAGCCGATGTCTTTTTGGTTTATATATTTTTTTAGTCCTTTTTTGTGTACTACACATGCAAATTTCACGTCCTACACCAATCATCACCAATCAAGAGGGATTACTGTACAAACAACTTTAGTCATGAGTACAGTCAAACCTGCACTAGACGTTTTTCATATTCAACATGAACAATACTGTGTGCCTAAACATCCCTATGTCTATGTAAACATCTGATGGGAAATAATGGGTAATGTAAAAATGACTTATGCCTTGCATGTTACCTGCATTAGCCGAATTTAATATGCAATACAAACAACATTATGTATCTATGCACACTTGTGAACATGTAAACATCTGATGGGAAATAATGGGTAATGTAAAACGGCTGCAGTCATACCTGCACTGATATACACTGATATTGATATACAATGTGAACAATATTATGTATCTACGTATACTTAAATACATGTAAACATGACTTGTGCTGGAAAGTATTTGGGTAATGTATCAAACCTGCACTAGTCGTAGTTGATATACAATATGAACAATAATATGTATCTACAGCTTATTCAGCTTGACCTGATCATATGAATACTACAGCATTGCGTGACCGTGTCACAACTGGTTCGGTCTATTATTGTCAGGGGGTGCACCTTTGTCAGTTGATTGTCAACATGTCCGAACAACCAAGACAAGGCCGCCGTTTGAATCGACAAATCGTCAGCAATGTCCTAACTTTCTTCAAAAAAGAAGCTACAGATGGTTTAATGTTTCCGATTCGGGCTGTAACGAATCCACGTATGAATGCGTCGCACGAACGCAACATTAATAGAATTCTTTGCTCCAATATTTAATGAAGTTAACTCGACCAGCCGTTTGTGCCATTTGACCTCCTGGGTCATGCATATGTAGATTAGCTCAGGTCTAGCTGAACAAGCCGTACGCATACTTATGTACATGTAAACATCTGCTGGGAAATAATGGGTGATGTAGAAATGGTTTATGATTTACATGCTATCGGAGACCTTATGTATCTATGCATAGCTGTGTAGATGTTAACATCTACGTATACTTATGTACATGTAAACATCTGCTGGGAAATAAAACATAAATAAAAAATACAAACACAAAAACATTCGTCATGCGGAAGCGCAGGTGGTGATGCTCTCTCAAAACATTCATTATTATCTTATCAACATTGACTGACTCCGATATATCTCCCATTTTTTTCAATTGTAAATGAAAAATGAAGTTCCCGAATTTTTTTCTGAAATCATGTCATCAAAGTAATGTGACATAAATATATGGAGGTTGGAGTGTTCGAATCCAATAGTATTCACGACATTAACGAATGTATATTTCAGTGGCAACGTTGTAATATGGATGACAGTCCTCAGCTGCTCATGCCCAGCAACGGATATCAAAGATGGCAGGATAATTGTTGATGTTTTATTTTATGTGTCAGGTTCGGCAAGGTCCCGACAGAAGAGTGAAGACGCAGTCCTTGCAAGTGACATATAACATAGACGAGCGTACACATAAAGTAAGTAAGTGAGTGAGTGGCAAATGGAGTACGTAAAGCATGTAATAAAAAGAAATTTAACTTAACTGTTCCTACGCTCCTCTCAATGTGCTGCCGACTCTATACGCATTTTCCTTGCGTAAGCCCAGCGATATTGGAAGTTTTCAATATCTGTGCGCAAACTTTAGCGATGAGGAGGAGGATTTGGAGATTTTACGTGCGCTTTTTCGACATAATGCGTATTTCGCACACGTCAAATAGTAGACAGCGGTGCAGTTTAAAGCAAGTGCCAGTTTATGAAAGCCCTTCTATTTTCAATATATTGTGCATTTCGCATTCAACATATATATGGGACTAAATGTAATATATATAGGAACTAATATACATATATATTATTTCTCCATGGAGTGAATGTGCATCATTAGACAGGAATGGAGTCGATTGGGTCAATCCTCCTTCACATCTTGTATGCGCCATCTTTGGATTAGTTCCTTAGGCTCCGGTGCGAGAGGTACAATGTGCTCCGGGAATTTTAAAGGACGGGAGGCGAATCTTTTGTCGGGTACTTTCTAAAGTACAATTTATACTTTGTTACAGACGAAACCGACGAAAATAGTTTAATGTCGAAAATTTGGGCTAATGGATATTGTCCTGGAACTTGCAGTTAAGCCACATTCACACGTTATATTTGTACAGTAATGACTCGAAGGCTGAGACCGTCGTGTTCATGTCTTCTTCGTTCCTGAGTATGACCCACATAACCATACATTGTTCCCTTCAACACTTTACTGTCGCAGAATCTCTCAATGATTTTATAAAAGAAGGCCATTCATGCGTACCGTGAATTTATGCCTGTGTTCGCGCCATTTCGTCTCCTAAAACAGTCGTGACCCCACTGGGTATTGCATAGATAACCGACTGAGGAGAGTGATCAATGGGCATGTGATCATTGGCAATTGTTTGCAGACCATCATAATGGGGACACCATGTTTACCCCTAACCTATGTAATTCGACTCTTTCTGTCGCCCTACGTGTACCTGTTTCCTTGTACTAGCACACTCAGCAACTGTGACGTGGTTCTCCAAATAATCAGGTCTGGACCAGACAATCCAGTGATTAACTTTATAATCATCGATCTAAGCAGTTGAGATACGACGACATGCATCACCTGAGGCAGTAAGCCTTACCTCCCGTAGCATGGGTTGCTGAATGTCAATTCTAACTGGGATCTTCATGGGTACCTTGATTCGGCAGCGGATGTCCCAAAAGTGACATTATAAGGCACAATGTCACACCCAATTTCTCTAGAAATACATAATGCATTTTTCTCAAAAATACTAACTATAAGCCCTCATGGAGGCTACCAAATCATTTATTCCCAAAACAAGTACGTATTAAAATTACAATATTGAATTATAAAGTTCAAACGAAATAATACAACGTTGCATGAACTCGACTCTCGCGCCCTCTAGCGGCTGAACATTATCCGCCTATGTTGGCATAGTACAACGACGACAGCAAAAAGACTCTCAGTGAGAATCAATGGGCAAATGTCAGAGAAAGCCTTCAGTATGGAGTTCCACAGGGTTCTGTACTGGGACCAGTGTTGTTCACTATCTGCACATCACCTCTCGGAGACTTTGCTCGCGCAAATAATCTCTCGTTCTATCTCTACGCGGACGATACCCGGCTGTATCTGGCCTTTAAGCCTTCCAACAGAACATCAGTAGAGGATACATATCGTCGTTTGATGAACTGTATCAAGGGCATCAAGGTTTGAATGGCGCTGAACGTTCTCAAGCTCAACAATGAGAAGACGGAACTGCTGATTCTCTCGTCAAAGTCAACAAGAGGCAAACTTGCTCTGCCCACCTTTGAAATTGGAGTTTGCATCATTGAACCAAGCAAAGAAGCCCGAAATCTGCGATTTGTATTTGAGCCATGAATGCAAAGCCATGAAGGCAGAGTTCTTTGTAAACAAAGTATGCAGACATGTATATTTTAACATCCAAAACACTGCCCAAATACGTCGATACATAAATCTAAAGACCATAACATATCTTGTTCAGGGCTGCGTTGTGTCCCATTTAGATTACTGTGATGCTCTTCGCATTGGACTACCAAAGCAATTGAAAGCGTACAAAATTGTGCAGCTAGACTTGTGACAAAGGCAAAAAAAGACAGACACATTTCTCCAGTGTTAACGAAACATGGTTGAAGATGCGGACAGAATCACTTATAAAGTGCTCCTGTTAACCTTAAAGGCAAGGGCAGGCCTAGCCCCTGTGTATCTCCAGGAACTCCTCCAGGAGCACAAGTCCACGGGACAAGGCATGCTGTGTGTTCCACACGCAAGGACCACCGCCTGTGGGGATCGCCAGAGCAGCTCCACGACTCTGAAATGATCTGCCATTAAACCTGTGACTTGTCAATAACTTAGCCACTTTTAAAACCATTTTCAAATACATACGCCGAGTGGACCTTGTTGATACATGTGACATGCATCCTCTCAAAGTTCTTTAGCGTTATACTGACTGGATTCTTGCGCTATATAAGTTCTTAGTTGACGATGATGATGACAGAAAACTAGACGCACACAAAAAAACGAAACAGCATAAAAATCCTGGTTAGAACTGGACTTCCGCATCCAAGACGTGTCGTTTGAGGTGACTTACATGATCGGGTAAGACTCCCAGACTTGTATGTCTCTCACCTTAGATAGATATCATACATCCTGTTTGAGTGGATCACTGGATTGTCTGGTCCAGACTCGATTATTCGGAGACCAGTGGCTGCAATATTGCTGAGTGCAGCGTCACACAACAATTATACAAAATATATTCTTCCGACAAATCCACCTTTCTCGAGCTACAGATAACGTAACATGCTTTCGACCGTCCTCAGAGCTGAAGTTTTCACTATACAGACAGACAGACAGACGTTATTGACACATGCCACAAACGCCTTTGGTCATACATGGAAACATTTTACAATTTTCAGTTATAAGATGGTGAGGTTCACACCTAGATAATTCTTTACCTGTTGTTTCTCACCCGGAATTATTTATAAGTAGACATGTTTTTTTAGTATTTTTCAACTGTACAAAATTATATACTGAATAGTGTTTATAACAATATGACTTGATATAACGTGATTTTATATAGGAATAAGCTGGGCATTTAATGCGGAAATGGAATTCGTATTCTAGATTATTTTCATCAACTTTTCATTATATCTCTCTTGCTTCCCGTGGATTCTACCACTATCATGTCTACTAGTGTCAATACATATTGAATGGGATGACATTCTTGTTTGTTCGCATAATTTGAAATACTATTGGGATACGATTCATAACCAAAATTATCCTTGTAGTAGTCCAGTTTCTTAATTAAAGATTTCAGTGTGTGATATATTTAGCCAGTAATCGATACATGGAAGGGTTTTCCGGGTTTGCACGGGTTACAGTATTGTCGCTAATTTGTTGAAATATTGAAAATGTTTACTTCGTGAATCATCAGAATTACTTTTTTGCAGATCCCTCTCAAAGCATTGACGATCCTTCTTTGATCCAACCAGAAATCACAGTGGTTACAGCTTATTTCAACATTGGTTCCTTCGCCAAAGGAAGTAGTGCTAACACGTTTACGCCGGGCAAATATATGCACTGGATGAAAGTGTTTGGCAACATAAGAAACAACCTTGTCGCATATACCGATTCGAAGGATGTGTACGATCTCTTCATGAACCTGAGACGCAAGTTTCCCAGCAATACGACGAAAGTGTTCCTGATAGACAGACACAACCTATGGTCCTTCTCTTTGGCTGAGGAGATCCGTAGTATCTACAAGCAGCCTAACTATCCAAGGCATCGCCCGAACACCGTCAACGAGAACTACTCATGTGCAATGCATGCTAAGTTTGAATTGGTCAACAAAGTCTTAGCGGAGGAGCTGTTTCCAACAAAATATTTCTGCTGGCTCGATATTGGACTCTTCCGGGATCTTGCTGATGACAAGAAGACCTTCAAGCTCCAGATTCCCAAAGAATGGGATCAACGGAAGGTAGCCTATAGTGCAGTATCCCGCTTTAACAAACAGACGACAATCGTAAATGTTATCAAAAACAATATGGTGTGGGTTGGAGGCGCAATGTTTTTAGGAACACCTGAAGTGCTTCATAACTACACGGAAGACTACATGAATATGGTCAAGATGCTGTTAAATCAACGCTTGATGAATACAGATCAGCAGGTTATATATTCCATGTACCTGACATCCTCGCAGGTTAAACCCAGAGTTCAGATACAAACATTCTCCCGCGAGCACAATCCTTATGGTTATTGGTTCTACCTGGGTACCTGTGCAGGGAGACATGGTTAAAAACCCAAACTCCTGTGAATAAAACAGCCTAATAAACGACATCCTTTAGCCATGATTCTGTCACTTGGTTCCCTAAACACTTACTGATTACAGAAAACTACAGTTTAAACTATTTTGATTTTTTAGAAATTATTATCAAACCATATCAAAGGTATTGGTTCATGAGCATCGATCTGCCCAATTGGAAACCGATGACATGTGTCAACCAAGTCAGCAAGCCTGACCACCCGATCCCGTTAGTCGCCTCTTACGACAAGCATAGTCGCCTTTTGTGGCAAGCATGGGTTGCTGAAGACCTATTCTACCCCGGATCTTCACGGGTCTTATCCAGCTGTATGGCGGCGGACTGTTAATAGTCAGCGAGCCTGCCAACCCGATTCCGTTAGTTGACAGTTAACTGTGATTTTTTTAAGCGGTATGAAACTTCATTTTCAAATGATTCCCTTTAAAACGTTAATACGAAATAGCTGCATGTGTTTGGATCAAATATTTTAATATGCGTCGTACTAAATGACAATATCTTGACACGTGTATGATTTTTGTCGATACATTTTAGAAATATTTTACAAGCATAAGTGGACATGGTAAATCTCTTTTTAATGGTTCGAGTCACATGCACCACGAGAGTGCATATTATCTCCACACAACCAATAACGTGGGAACGTAGATTAATAGAGCGTAATCTTCTGATAAGGTCTTCACGAGTGGTAACAAATGAGTGGCTTTGATTTTACGCATCACTCAACAACATTTTTGCTATAAGGCGATTAGTCTGTAAATAATTGAGTCCGGACCAGACAATCCAGTGATCGACAGTATGAACATCGATCTATGCAATTGGGATACGATGACATGTGTCAGGCAAGTCAGCGAACCTGACCACCCGATCCCGCTATTCGCCTCTTATGACAAGCATAAATGGCGAAGAAGGCACGGAAGAAAGCTGAACGGTATGTCCGTCGGCATCCAATGGTCGATAGTTCAAATACGTTTAAAATTCAAAGTCCTTTAAACAATACAACACGCCAGTCTTGGCAAAGTGTTGTTTCAAAGATTATCACTTACGCCGATATCACTGGTATGGAACATGAACCAGAACTTAAAGGATGAAGGTTGTAAATCGAGCACACATCTCAAGCACACATTATGTTTCCAAGCATGGGTTACTGAAGACCAATTCTAACCCGGATCTTCACGGGCTATTATATCAAAAGCCGCACGCACTCGGTCAGAAGGTATATTATAAAATCTAAATGTTTCAGCAGAAAGCACATGGCTTTAGATGCACTTACTGATACAGATTTTATTGACATGAGGCTTCTGTTTCTAGTGAACACAACACCGAAGAACGTGGAATTGTCTGCGATTTCAATATCGGTATTCTCCAATTTAAACGATAACCTAAGATCCAGGCTTTATTTTCTGTCGGGTTCACGTCCAATTACAAACATTGCAATATTCTGATCAAATAATCAAATGTAGTTCGTTTGAAGAATTAACAAGCACAGACCCATCGGCAACAGACGGGGGTTAAGAAGTTACACAATTATGTATGTAAATATTACCAATATTAACACTGTACATGCGTCTTTCTTTAGAAATGTTTCAAGATCATTGATGACGAGACCAAAATAACAGAGGTGACAAATATTCTCCTTGTCGTACGCCTCAATAACACGGAATTACTCTGATACAGTACTATTCACATGAGCCTATTTTAGCTATGTAGCAGATTGTACCCTCAGTATCACATGTTAGTACAATATTTCATAACCATTGTTAGAACAATATTTCAGAACCAAACTCTCCTCACATTATCAAATCCATAATAGAGCAGTATGATTTTGCTTACTTTTCAAAAGAATTTCTTTGAGCATATCCAAGACGAAACTGTTATCTGCTGCCGAGTAACTCTTTCTCAGTCCAGCTTGAGCTGAAGTTTCTCCAGAATATTATTTTATCTATTCTTTTTTATATTTTTTTCTTTCTTTGCTCAAAATTGTGAAAACAGGTATGTATTGTGTTGGAAAGGTTTGTCCAGGTGAACATAACATTGTTCATATTTAAAGCGTGTTTTCCAGACAAGGACTGTCTTTGCATTGGAATGTATTAGTTCAATATGAGTATCTATAATAAAGTGAAGCAGATGACACGAAGAATAGTTTTGTCATTGTACGTCAAGGAAAGTCAAACTACATAATACACACACACAGTGAGAGAGAGAGATACCGAGACACACACACACACACATGCAAAGTTTAAAATATAAGTCCAGATATTTTTTCTTGCCAAAGCTCTTTCATCTGCACAAGATCTTCCACGTTCAACGTCTCTTCAGGTGAAAGATCTTGTGCAGATAAAGGAGCTTTGGGAAGAAGAAATATCTTGACTCATCTTTTATATATTTATTGCTTATACGCCTGCAGAAATCACTTGATACATATAGATAGATATATAATCAGTATCTCTCTCTCTCTCTCTCTCTCTCTCTCTCTCTCTCTTAAGGTGAGTACAAATGGGTATTTTGTCTCTCTCTGGTCTTTGAATAGCATTTAGAAGTGATACCTGAGGTGAGGGCGAGAGATTTTGTCTATGGATGCCAACTTCTTATTTGTGAGGAACAACGTTTAGGAGTATGTCCTTATTTCTTTACCGGATGAAGGAGTAAGGATATACTCCAAAACGTTGTGCTCTTCATGATAAAGAAGTTGATATCCATAAAACTCTCGTCCTTATTTTTCCTTTGTTTCCACGTCTACATGACAACAGTTGTACAACGACAGTGAGTGGACATTGGGTTTCATTGGACTTTTGTCTTGATACTCATGTTTTTTTTACGCTAAGCTTCAAACGCTCAACGAAATATATATTTTGTATGAGAATCCTATAGCTAACCAATTTGCAACATTTATTTTTTTGCTAGGCAGTCTTTTCAGTAGTTCAGTAGTCTACATTAGGTATTCCAGGCGCATTTCTATTTTCAAGTAAAATCTGTCCTTCATATTTAGTGGTGTAAATGTTATTTAGAATAACAACATGATATGTGTTTATTCCTCTAATCAGTGGTTTGATATAACGATTCTATTAACACAACCTAGTAACTGGAGACAGAAATACATAGCCAAACAGGGTTGGTGTAACAATTCAGTTAACACAGTCAGTGTCACAGAAGTGTATTTATCCAATAGTACTATAAATTTTTGTCCTCCTGAGAGGATACATAAGTCCCAAAAGCACCAAAGGAAATTTAAACTTAACAGGATTTTTTAAACGTAGTATTTTTGTGATTTTAATCTATGACTACATTTTCCTACAATCGCCAGCAGCTTAAGGGCTTGTATAAACCCAGCTAGGTTCCATGCAGGTTACAAAGGCACTGTAAGTACCCATGGTCCCTAGTATGGTGATCTACCTTCAGTTGTTGGCGATCTCATATATAGCCTGTTTTATATTGTATTGTCTTCTTAAGTTGAACTGTTTTAGATTTAATTACTAGTTTTAAATTTATATATCTGTGATAATCTAGTTGTTATACTGTCCTTCGTCGACAGTTTTTTTTATAATTTACTTGCGTGTATTTTGAATTTATGACTTTGAAAGTCACGATACAGCGGAAATATTGCCAGTGTGACTGTAAATGTTAACTCACTCACTCACTCAGTATTCATCCAATACCTCAACTGCCAGAAACGGGGTGTCAGCCTATTTTCGCTAGCGGTAACTGTTTCATGAAAAGTAGAAAATAAAGGTTATCGGAATTTAGTCAACCTCTAATTCCATGCTAACGTGTTTTTCGTGAAACTGGAAACCCTGATCGGAGGCTTTCACAAAAACACACGCTGGCATGTATGTTGGCATGCTTTGGTTGGGTTGGTTGGGTTGTTGCTTAACGACGCACTCAGTAATATCCCAGCTATCTGACGGAATAGATCTGTAACCAGATAGTCCAGTGATCAACAGCATGAGCATCGATCTACGCAGTTGGGATACGATGACATGTGTCAACTAAGTCAGCGAGCCAAGTCCAAAATTGCCTAACTCCATTTGAGCCTTACAGAAAAACCATAATTTCTTCAACTTGCCAGCAGATGGCATAGAGCTTACGTTATGAACAATAGCTATTTGAAGATCAATTTCTCGAGATGCCCCGTGTAGGTGTGCATCAGTTAACTGACTGTAGACCAATTCGTTTGAAAGGTCAGCTTTAGGAGAATCCATGTAGATAGGTTTTCCATCATTTGCAAACATACTCAGCTCATCGCATTGACTGTCGCCAGTCACTGCCTGGTTCATCATCAGTCCCCGTGCTCAAGAGAATCACTGGCTTGCTCATCCTCTATGGATATCCCAATATTGCAGATATACATGGTGGTAAGATGAACTGGTGAGAGGTTAACAGTTGAGTTTGTTTTTTTTTCGGAACCGTTCTGCTGGCTAGACTCAGAATGACATGACGTTAGCAATGCAAGTGCCCTTTAACCTTTTTAGAAATGAGTATATTACCACATAAAATGTAACATAAACCTTTATCAATGATTGAAATTGGTTTGGAGACAAATGTCTCAACAAGGCTCGTATCTCTTTGACATTACCGTCCTTCAACTTGATAACATAATTCAAGTTGCTTTGTATCAGATCAGTCAGACTTAAGACTTTTCTCTACTGTTTTCACTGTGACAAGGCAGTCTCTGATTCTCTTGGCGGATAGGCGACGATGATAAAAGAATGATCAAACGTCACAAGTTATAGATGTTCAGTCTTAAGGAAGATACACTGTACATACTACAGTGGAAAATATACCAGTACGAAGACGTCCGTATTGTGCATCACTGTAAGAACGTGCATCAGTGACGAGTAGCCATATTTCCTGCCCTCCACAGCGTCACTTTGAGAAATATTGTCAATAAAGATTTCCAGGAAACATTTGAGAAGCTAAACTTTTATATGATATGGTGTCCCCCCGATATTGCTGGAATGTTGCTAAAAGCGGCGTTAAACCATACTCACTCACATACTCACTCACATACTCACTCACTCACAGACCCATCCTCTCCGGGAACAAACAGCGAAACAAGATAACTAATCGCCTAAACGTTGCAAAAACTCCCAAACGACTTGTTCTAATGTAACACGACATGTACGTTCATACGGATGTTTACAACAGTCTACGCGACACGTGAGCAATACAGTAAATAGTTCAAAGAACATAAAAATATGCCACCTTTGAGGCAACTTGAAAGAGAGAGAGAGCTGTCGAAATGGCCCAACAAGGAGCTGACCACACCGTCATTGTCAGAACCCTTGTCTTCGGCTGCAATATGACCTTCAATTATACTTGTAAATATATAACTTTGTACGTGCAAATCTGCTGTACTGGGCGAATGTTTTAATACAAATGTTCAGTGTGTTTCTCATTGGGATCCTGAAATGATGAAATGAAGGAACAGCAACAGTAACCACATAAACTGTTCTTGTTAGTGTGTCCCATTTTTAATCGTTCGTGCAGAGAATCCTAACATTTACATACCAAGTCTTATTCAGAAGCAAGCTTCCTCTATTCATGAAAAGGGACATAGGATTTAGGATCAAAGATGAGTCTTGCTATAAGTATTTTTCAAGCAATTAAAATAATATTACTTACAATCTCACTACGGTTTAATTAGATGTTAAACATGCCACCATGAATTACGGTTTTTGCACGTAAGCTTAACGCAATTGATAAATACTCTAAAACACCATTCTTAGCTGTCAGTTTTGGCTAAATTTGACTTCAATCGCCAGCGACTGTAGGGATGATATCAATCCAACTAGGGTCCATGCAGGTAGCAAAAGTACTGTAAGATCCCATGGTCCCTAGTTTGGTGATCTACCTTCATTTGTTGGCGATCTATAGCCAGTTTTTATATTGTATTGTCCAAAGAGTGCAATTAGTTTTAATTTTCAACACAAGTTTTAGTTGTAATTGTGATATTCTAGTTGTTTTACTGTCCTTCGTCGACAGGTTTTTTATAATATACATCTATTCCATTTCAATGTCACATGTTCTCGTCACGATATGGCTGAAATATTGCCGATGTGACGTTAAATAAAAACTCACTCACTCACTTATGTACTCTGACTGACTGACTGAGTTTGGTTTTACGCCGCTTTTAGCAATATTCCAGCAACATCACGGCGGGGGACACCAGAAATGGGCTTCACACATTGTACCCATATGTACTCTGAAGATACCTACACTGTGCTTATGTACTATGAAGCTACCTATAGCGTACTTATGTACTATGAAGCTACCTATAGTGTACTTAAGTACTATGAAGATACCTACACTGTACTTAAGTACTATGAAGCTACCTATACTGTACCTATGTACTATGAAGATACCTATACTGTACTTATGTACTATGAAGATACCTATAGTGTACTTATGTACTATGAAGCTACCTATACTGTACCTATGTACTATGAAGATACCTATACTGTACTTATGTACTATGAAGATACCTATACTGTACTTATGTACTATGAAGATACCTACACTGTACTTAAGTACTATGAAGATACCTATACTGTACTTATGTACTATGAAGATACCTATAGTGTACTTATGTACTATGAAGCTACCTATACTGTACCTATGTACTATGAAGATACCTATAGTGTACTTATGTACTATGAAGCTACCTATACTGTAACTTATGTACCATGAGCCACCTATACTGTACTTATGTGCTCTGAAGATACCTATAGTGTATGTATGTACTATGAAGCTACCTATAGTGTATGTATGTATGTACTATGAAGATACCTATACTGTGCTTATGTACTATGAAGCTACCTATAGTGTACTTATGTGCTCTGAAGATACCTATAGTGTACTTATGTACTCTGAATCTACCTATACTGTACCTATGTACTATGAAGATACCTACACTGTACTTATGTACTATGAAGATACCTATAGTGTACTTATGTACTATGAAGATACCTATAGTGTACCTATGTACTATGAAGATACCTATACTGTACTTATGTGCTCTGAAGATACCTATAGTGTATGTATGTACTATGAAGATACCTATATTGTGTGTACTTATGTACTATGAAGCTACCTATAGTGTACTTATGTACTCTGAAGCTACCTATAGTGTATGTATGTACTATGAAGCTACCTATACTGTACTTATGTACTCTGAAGCTACCTATAGTGTACTTATGTACTATGAAGCTACCTATAGTGTACTTATGTACTATGAAGCTACCTAAAGTGTATGTATGTACTATGAAGCTACCTATACTGTACCTATGTACTATGAAGATACCTACACTGTACTTATGTACTATGAAGATACCTATAGTGTACTTATGTACTATGAAGCTACCTATAGTGTACCTATGTACTATGAAGATACCTATACTGTACTTATGTGCTCTGAAGATACCTATAGTGTACTTATGTACTATGAAGCTACCTATACTGTACCTATGTACTATGAAGATACCTATACTGTACTTATGTGCTCTGAAGATACCTATAGTGTATGTATGTACTATGAAGATACCTATAGTGTACTTATGTGCTCTGAAGATACCTATACTGTGCTTATGTGCTCTGAAGATACCTATAGTGTATGTATGTACTATGAAGCTACCTATACTGTGCTTATGTACTCTGAAGCTACCTATAGTGTACTTATGTACTATGAAGCTACCTATAGTCGACTTATGTACTATGAAGCTACCTATAAAAATGATTTTACATAAATAGGAATCGAGAGTTATGGGTCTGTACTGGTTATTGCATTTGTACTATTAAAACATGCCTCAATTTCATCGGCAAGGATCCCGAAGACCAACACACCAACTTCTTCCCAAATAACAGCTAGAGCAGAATCCAGCATATGCATATACACAGTTTACTATTTTCTTGTTACAAGTTGAATTGGATAAGGTAGTGTATGTGAAGATTGGCAGTGATTCAGTCGTAAAGGACAATGAGTCCATGAATGAGGTGTATGAGAAGTCAGGCAAGGATATACTGATTTGATACACCTTGCCATTAGGCAATGTATTACAAACACAACAATGTAGCTGACATTTGCTACACAATGACGACCTGATATTTCTTCACGAAGACGGCCTGATACTTACTTCTTGAAAATGTCCTTCTATTTTCTATACGAAGATATACATGACACTTGCTACACAAAGAAGACCTGATACTTGTTAGTTGAATATGTCACGTTATGTGAAAACGACGTGATACGAGCTTCACGACCTGACATGTGCTACAAGGTGACTGACTACATTTATACGTGCTGTACGATGACGACCTGATACTTGCTACACAGTGACGACCTGATACTTGCTACAAGACATCGACCTGATACTTGCTCCACGACAGCGACCTGATACTTGCTGCACGACAGCGACCTGATACGTGCTACACAGTGACGACCTGATACTTGCTACAAGACATCGACCTGATACTTGCTCCACGACAACGACCTGATACTTGCTACACGACAGTGACGACCTGATACTTGCTACACAGTGACGACCTGATACTTGCTACAAGACATCGACCTGATACTTGCTGCACGACAGCGACCTGATACGTGCTACACAGTGACGACCTGATACGTGCTACAAGACATCGAGCTGATAATTGCTCCACGACAACGACCTGATACTTGCTACACGACAACGACCTGATACTTGCTACACAGTGACGACCTGATACTTGCTACAAGACATCGACCTGATACTTGCTGCAAGACATCGACCTGATACGTGCTACACAATGACGACCTGATACGCGCTACACGACCACGACCTGATACGTGCTGCACAGTGACGACCTGATACGTGCTGCACGACCACGACCTGATACGTGATACACAGTGACGACCTGATACGTGATACACAGTGACGACCTGATACGTGCTGCACAGTGACGACCTGATACGTGCTGCACAGTGACGACCTGATACGTGCTGCACGACCACGACCTGATACGTGATACACAGTGACGACCTGATACGTGCTGCACGACATCGACCTGATACTTGCTGCACAGTGACGACCTGATACGTGCTGCACGACAGCGACCTGATACGTGCTGCACAGTGACGACCTGATACGTGCTGCACGACAGCGACCTGATACGTGCTGCACGACAGCGACCTGATACTTGCTACACGACCACGACCTGATACGTGATACACAGTGACGACCTGATACGTGCTGCACGACCGCGACCTGATACGTGATACACAGTGACGACCTGATACGTGCTGCACGACATCGACCTGATACTTGCTGCACAGTGACGACCTGATACTTGCTGCACAGTGACGACCTGATACGTGCTGCACGACAGCGACCTGATACGTGCTCCACGACAACGACCTGATACGTGCTGCCACGAACACAGCATGATACGTGTTCGACTGTAACGACCTGATACAAGCTACACAAAACGATGTGATACTCGTTATAGCCAGAAGACCTGATACATGCCACACGAAGGCGACCTGATACGTGTTGCCTGAAAATGTGCTTGCTTATTCGTACTACATGAAGACGCCCTCATACTTGCAAACTGAAAATGTACAGACTTTGCTTTGCAGTCTAAAATTGCTTGATTCTGATGCTGATTGGTAAAAACAAGTTCTCTATCACTATTGAAACCCACGTTAGGACTTTGCACACAGGAGTCCTTGGTTCCAGATTGAAATACGAAGTATCTACTCTGCAGTGGGACTACATCACATTTCAAAACACACCAGGATTCGTATGATGCTCCATACGCATATCCCGATACTCCCCCACGTCCTGATACTTCCCCCACGTCCTGATACTTCCCCCACGTCCTGATACTCCCCCCACGTCCTGATACTCCCCCCACGTCCTGATACTTCCCCCACGTCCTGATACTCCCCCACGTCCTGATACTCCCCCCACGTCCTGATACTTCCCCCACGTCCTGATACTCCCCCCACGTCCTGATACTCCCCCCACGTCCTGATACTTCCCCACGTCCTGATACTTACGTCCTGATACCCCACGTCCTGATACTTTCCCCACGTCCTGATACTTCCCCACGTCCTGATACCCCCACGTCCTGATACTTCCCCACGTCCTGATACTCCCCCCACGTCCTGATACTTCCCCCACGTCCCTGATACTTCCCCCACGTCCTGATACCCCCACGTCCTGATACTTCCCCCACGTCCTGATACTCCCCCACGTCCTGATACTTCCCCCCACGACCTGATACTCCCCACGTCCTGATACTCCCCCCACGTCCTGATACTTCCCCACGATACCTGATATACTCCCCCACGTCCTGATACTCTCCCCCCCCACGTCCTGATACTCCCCCACGTCCTGATACGTCCTGATACTCCCCCCACCCCCACGTCCTGATACTCCCCACGACCTGATACTTCCCCCACGACCTGATCCTCCTCCAACACACACACACACACACACACGTCACGATACTTCCGGATACTTACATTTAGCTTGAAGGGGGAAAAGATCACAAAACAACGAATATAGATTTGACTTGGACCTTATACACTTAGAGTTATGCTTACTGTCGTGACAAATATATGTAAAAGTGTTCACGTAATAGAAATTGTCAGTTATGTATCATCAAGACCTCTTTAACTTCAGGGGACTTCCTGAAAGACCCCACGTTAAAACTCTATAAATATTAGTATTTGAAGGCAACATGCTAGACACAGTCAAAAGTTGACCTTTAGACAAGCTGTTCTACGAAACCTTATTGTGTTGGCAACAGTTTTTGCAGTTCAAAGGAGAGCGCTAATCTGACCACTACTCCCCCATTTCAGGATATCGTTGATCTCGTCTCAAGGCCTCTTCCCTCATACCACAGACTGACACCACATTGGGCTTACAAAGCAACACAAAAATGGAAATGCATAAACAACTAAACAAAACAGTCGGACCATTTACCTCAGTTATGATTGACACTGATAACAGTTCGATGCTATGTTATGATGAATGTTATCTGTACGTTTTTCTTGTAGCTGCTCATGAACATGGTAAGTGTGTGTGTGTGGTTTTTAATCTGCTCCAGCGCCAGACCATGCACAAGGACAGACAATTAAGTCTCGGATGTACCTGACCAAACTGGAGTTAAGTACATGCAATGGTCGCGTCACAAATGAGGTTCCAAAGTGATCTTCTCTATTGCGTGGCATCGTCCAAAGTCAAGTCAAACATCTTCGACCCGAATATTCGCCGAGGGGTATATAGAGGCCATGGTGACCAAACATCTGAAACTACAGATGAGCACTCCAAACCAACCATCGAAAGACCATCAACAAAGATACACCACACGGTTGAGTTAGTGAGTGAGGATTCACAGTCACACCGACAATATTTCAGCAATATCGTTACTAAATCAAGTTATACACTAATTATGCATTTCAAACTAATAACAAATGTCATAAAAGGGCAGTAAAACAACAAGATTGTCACAGGTATAGGTCTAAAACTGTTACGTGAGCATTAAAATGTGACGATACATTCTTTATACTGGGCTCAAGATCACCAGCATCCAAAGTTAGGCCACCATACTGGGGACCATGGGGGCCTACAGTACTTCTGGTACCTTCATGGTACCCCAGCTGGATTTACAACATCCCTTTGGTTACTGAAGATTATCAGACATTGAAGCCAAGTAATTAAAACTAACAAAAAGACGTGAATATTGGTGAGTGTTACTGGGCAAATATGACATGATTTTACATGTTAAAAGAAAAATATATCAAACCTTTCACAATAAATTTTTGTAATTGTGTTCCAAGCAGCCCAAATTCGATAACCAGTGTTATATCTTAGTGTTATATCTTATAATAGGGTGCATAAACTTGATAATATATCGATAATATTCAGAACTGACTCGACTAGGACAATCAAAATATAAGATACGTTTTACAACAGCCACATTCACTATGATGTGTGTATTACGACTACGTGCGTGAAACAATCCTCAAGATGCTTCTTCCTTCAACAGTTACATAGTATGAAGATGTTTCCTACCTTAAACCTCCCCATGTCCCAGAGGAGACCAGGAATGTCCAACTTGGCTCCTGAAAGCGATCTTGTCACTATACCTTCGAAAATTCGAAAATATGCGTCATGAAGCTACCTATACCGTACTTATGTACTATGAAGCTACCTATACTGTACTTATGTACTATGAAGCTACCTATACTGTACGTATGTAGTATGAAGCTAACTATACTGTACTTTTGTAGTATGAAGCTACCTATACTGTACTTATGTACTATGAAGCTACGTATACTGTACTTATGTAGTATGAAGCTAACTATACTGTACTTTTGTACTATGAAGCTATCTATACTGTACTTATGTAGTATGAAGCTACCTATACGGTACTTATGTACTATGAAGCTACCTATACTGTACTTATGTACTATGAAGCTACCTATACGGTACTTATGTACTATGAAGCTACCTATACGGTACTTATGTACTATGAAGCTACCTATACTGTACTTATGTACTATGAAGCTATCTATACTGTACTTATGTAGTATGAAGCTAACTATACTGTACTTTTGTACTCTGAAGCTACCTATACTGTACTTATGTAGTATGAAGCTACCTATACTGTTCTTATGTACTTTGAAGCTACTTATACTGTATTTATGTACTATGAAGCTGCCTATACTGTACTTATGTAGTATGAAGCTACCTATACTGTACTTATGTACTATGAAGCTACCTATACTGTATTTATGTACTATGGAGCTACCTATACTGTACTTATGTAGTATGAAGCTAACTATACTGTACTTTTGTACTCTGAAGCTACCTATACTGTACTTATGTAGTATGAAGCTACCTATACTGTTCTTATGTACTTTGAAACTTCTTATACTGTATTTATGTACTATGAAGCTGCCTATACTGTACTTATGTAGTATGGAGCTACCTATACGGTACTTATGTAGTATGAAGCTACCTATACTGTACTTATGTACTATGAAGCTACCTATACTGTATTTATGTACTATGGAGCTACCTATACTGTACTTATGTAGTATGAAGCTAACTATACTGTACTTTTGTACTCTGAAGCTACCTATACTGTACTTATGTAGTATGAAGCTACCTATACTGTACTTATGTCCTATGGAGCTACCTATACTGTTCTTATGTACTATGAAGCTATCTATACTGTACTTATGTAGTATGAAGCTACCTATACCATACTTATGTAGTATAATGCTACCTATACTGTTCTTATGTACTTTGAAGCTACTTATACTGTATTTATGTACTATGAAGCTGCCTATACTGTACTTATGTAGGATGAAGCTACCTATACTGCACGTATGTACTATGAAGCTATCTATACTTGTGTAGTATGACGATACCTATACTGTGCTTATGTACTATGAAGCTACCTATACTGCAATTATGTACTATGAAGCTACCTATACTGTACTTATGTTCTATGAAGCTACCTATACTGTACTTATGTACTATGAAGTGGTGGGTGGGGAGCTCGGGTGATGAACCATATTACACTAACCATGGCTTATGAAACCCCCCTAAAGAAACAAAACGTCCGATCGACACTGATCCTGTTGATACTGACCGTCCCTTTCGATTGAGTATTGGCCACGTTTCCTTGCAATTAAATCTCGTGACAAAACATCGTTGAAGTTGAACCCTTTTGCAGTATCTAAGGGTATTCAAGGTATTGCTGGGGATGTTAAGAACATCAAACTCTTACGTTGTGTGCGCTGCTGGTTGAGTGCGGAAAAATACAACAATCAACCAACCTGATGAGTACCGAATCTTTCTTGGGTTTTCCGGTCACGGTCTCTGCTCACAAAACATTAAACACAAGTAAAGGTATCGACAGAGACCGTCATCGATTGTTTGCTAACATGTCGGAACTTGACATAGTGTCAGAGATGAAGGATCAAGGCGTGCTTTATGTCAAACGTTATACAACCCGGAAAAGCCATGAAACTGTCAAAACCAATACATATCTGCCTTCCTTTTCATGCTCAAATGCTCCCAAATCACTGAAGGCACGCTCAGAGTCTTAATCGTCATCCGATAGTCAACAAATTGTTGAAAGTAAAACTAAACCTAAGCCTGATGTTTAAAAAAAACAAAGTGGCAGAGCCCCAAAATGGTCGCAAAATAGAATTCAGTTGTTCAACAACTATGGATCTCCTGAGGACATGGACGCATCTGAAAATGTCCATTCTAGGGCACAAAGCTTGTCGCCCTCCAAACAAGTGCGGGGTATATCCCCAATAAATCCCCCCAAAAGATAGTTTATTCCAATAGTGTTGTGCAGTGGAACTGCAGAGGACTGAGGATTAATTTCAGCGATTTACAGCTATTAGTCCAAGATTTTATACCATCAGCGATCTATCTACAGGAGACATATTAAAAACAGACATATAGTTTTGACCTTTGTCATTTTAATGCATATCATTGTTTATCACCTCCGGGTGATAGGGCCACTGGAGGATCTTCGATCCTAGTTAAACAGAAAGTTATCCATAGCCCTGTTGCACCTACTACTAATCTTCAGGCTGTTGCAGTGCGACTAACTTTGCTCTTTGTGTTTACATTATGCTCTCTCTACATATCTCCGTCTTCAGTGTTTCACAAAACTAATCTTCAAGCTCTATATGACCAACTCCCGACGCCCTGTATTATTATGGGAGATTTAAATTGGCACAACCCACTCTGGGGTAGTGCAAATACAAACGCTAAAGGTAAATTACTGGAGGAGTTTTGTTCAGGTAATGATTTATGTATTTATAATGATGGTTCCAACCCATATTTATACCCTGGTACAGGAACCTATTCTGCTCTCGACTTGTCAGTCACAAATTCAGAACTACTAAATGAATTTGAATGGTCAGTCCACGATGACCTCTGTGGAAGTGACCATTTTCCTACTATACTAAAACCTGTAACTCCATCTGATGTACCTCCATCATCAAGGCGGAATTTTAAAAAGGCTAACTGGGCTTTATATGAAACACTGTGTGCTGCAAAACTGAAACCTGAACTTTTTATTGACGTTCTTTATGCTATTAACTGTTTTTCTGATGAACTGAAAACCATAGCTGATGAGTATATACCACAGTCCTCTGCAAATCCTCATATCCGAAAACCATGGTTCAACGATGAGTGCAAACAAGCTAGGAAGGCAAGGAAAAAAGAAGACCATTATTCTTGTCGCCATCCTATGGTTCATGATTTAAATAAATTTAAAATGTTAAATGCTAAAGCGCGGCGTACCTTTAAACAGAATAAACGCAAATCTTGGCAAAATTATGTATCCAAAATAAATTCTCGAACGCCCATGTCCAAGGTATGGAACATGGTCCAGAAATTAACGGTAGAGGTTCTAAATCTAGTGTCCATCATCTTAAACATGGAGATCAATTACTTACCAATAAATCAGATATTGCGAATAAACTTGGTGAAACTGTCGCTTAACACTCTTCCTCTTCTAATTATGTGCCTAAATACCAACAATATCAAAAACAAGAAGAAAGGAAAACTATTAATTTCAATTCAGATAATGGGGAAGATTATATTGAAACATTTTCTATTCATGAACTCCATACTGCTCTTGAGCAAGCTCACGATACTGCTACAGGTGCTGATCACATACATTATCAACTCCTGAAACACTTACAAGAATCATGTTTAGAGACGCTCTTACACATTTTTGATGATATTTGGACGTCAGGAAAATTTCCTCCCTCATGGCGTGACGCTATAGTGGTACCAATACCTAAACCTGGACGTGATCATACGGATCCGTCCAATTATCGACCGATTTCACTAACTAGCTGTGTTTGCAAAACCATGGAACGCATGATAAATAATCGACTTGTTTGGTACTTGGAAACTAATAACCTTATAACAGATACACAATGTGGTTTCCGGAAAAACAGAAGTACTGTCGATCACCTAGTGCGTTTGGAATCATTTGTTAAAAATGCTCTTATTAATAAACAACACGTGTACGCTGTGTCTATTTTTTTTATCTTGAAAAGGCATATGATACAACGTGGAAATATGGCATTTTAAGAGATTTACATGGCTTCGGATTGCGAGGCCGTTTGCCTCAGTTTATAGCTAACTTTTTAAATGACAGACAATTTAAAGTCCGCGTGGGTTCTACCCTGTCTGATCATTACAATCAGGATCAGGGTGTCCCACAAGGTAGTATTTTGTCTGTGACTTTATTTAGTATCAAGATCAACAGTTTATCCAAGGTGTTAAATGATTCAATTGATGGATCACTTTTTGTGAATGATTTTAATATTTCTTGTCGTGGTAAAAATATGCATACTATTGAACGGCAACTGCAGTTGTGTTTAAACAAGATAAATAAATGGTGTCTTGAAAACGGCTTTACATTTTCTAAATACAAGACTAATTGTATACATTTCTGCCGTAAATACAAACTGCCTAAAGCCGCATAAAGACACTGAACTATCTCTAAATGGCACACCGATCAAAGTTGTGAAGGAGGCCAAGTTCTTGGGTATTATTTTTGACTCACATTTAACGTTTCATGGCATGGCATTTTGAAGGATTTACATAATTTTGGTTTGAGGGGTCGCTTACCTCTTTTTATATCACAGTTTTTAAGAAACAGGCAATTTCAAGTCATTGTGGGTTCAACCGTGTCTGATCATTACAATCAGGATCAGGGTGTCCCTCAAGGCAGTATTTTGTCTGTCACTTTATATAGTATCAAGATCAACAGTTTACCCAAGGTGTTAAATGATTCAATTGATGGATCACTTTTTGTGAATGATTTTAATATTTCTTGACGTGGTAAAAATATGCATACTATTGAACGGCAACTGCAGTTGTGTTTAAACAAGAAAAATAAATGGTGTCTTGAAAACGGCTTTACATTTTCTAAATACAAGACTAATTGTATACATTTCTGCCGTAAATACAAACTGCCTAAAGCCGCATAAAGACACTGAACTATCTCTTAATGGCACACCGATCAAAGTTGTGAAGGAGGCCAAGTTCTTGGGTGTTATTTTTGACTCACACTTAACGTTTCTACCACATATTAAATCCCTTGAAACTAAATACCTGAGGGCACTTGACTTGTTGAAAGTCGTTTCCAATTCAAAGTGGGGAGGGGATCAAGCTACCCTCCTACATCTATATCGATCACTGGTACGTTCCAAACTTGATTATGGTTCCATCGTTTAAGGTGGAGCCTGCAAAAGCAAACTCAAACTATACTAGCCACATAAAGAAACTGTGCATTGTCAAAATAGTATCCCAGTTGATAAGTACTATAACAATGTCAAAGGTACATATAAACTTTAACGGAGGGATCATGAGACCTTAACAAGTCGGGAGAATTTCAATTGAAAAGTCAATCACAATGACGTCACGAGTCCACAAGCGGGACAGGGGTCAAACGACCATGTCACAAGCTCAATAACGGGTATGTCCACCTTCGGCATTGAGAACAGCAGTGCATCGACGATGCATAGAGCCTTTTAAACGTGCAAGGAAGGCTATTGGGATGTCACGCCAGATTCTCTCAAGTTCTGTTGCAAGGTCAAGGACGTTATCTGGTGGATGAGGAAGACGGCGTAGACGTCGATCCATCTCGTCCCAAACATGCTCTATCGGGGAGAGATCCGGTGAATTTGTAGGCCAAGGCAGTAAGTCAACGTTGTGGTGTTGCAAGAAATCAATAGCAACCCTTGCCGTATGAGGGCGGGCATTGTCCTGTTAGAATGTTAAACCATGGCCATGAAGTTGCAGAAAAGGAATTGCCACAGGTCGAAGGATCTGATCCCTGTAGCCCACACCAGTTAAGGTGCCCTGAAAAATCACCAAAGGAGTTCTTTGGCGTGCTGTTATTCCACCCTAAATAATCACGGAACCACCACCAAAGAGATTCCTCTCCAAGACACAGGCCTGTGCATAACGTTCTCCCACGCGTCTATAGGCACGTTGACGTCCATCACTATGGGAAATGTTAAACCTGGACTCATCTGTAAAACCAACATTTCTCCACCAAAACAAGTGTCTGCGGACATGATTTCGGCACCACATTCGGCGAGCTTGTCGATGACGTTGTGTCAGGATAGGCCGTATGGCGGGACGTCGTGGTCTGATCCCGTGATGACGTAAACGTTGTCGAACTGTGTTGGGGTGGATACGGCGAAGTCCTAGGATGTTTCAGGCAGTCATCACTGCAGTCTGAAACCTGTGATGAAGATAGGTCACCCTTATCTATATGTCCTGTCTTGGCGTTGTTACACGTGGACGTCCAGAACGTGGCCGATCGATGACGTCATTTGTGTCCTGATAGCGTCTCACCAGTGCAGAAATGGTGTTCCGGTGGCAGTGGAAATGTGAAGCCACTTGTCGTTGAGACATTCCCCCACGGACCATCCCAATGGCCTCATGACGTTGTGCAGACGTGAGCCTTGGCATGCTATGCGTTTCAATAAC